TTTTTTTTTTTGCTTTTTAAGGTATTTCGAGAAGTGTAATACTGTATACAGAATTTTGACTAATTATGGAAATAAGGAGACTGAGAAGAGTGTAAACAACGATTTCTTAAACAGTTTTTTGTTTTTTAATTTAGGGAGGTCTTGCATATGTAGATGGTACTATTGACGAAGGATGCGTCAAAGATTGGAGAAAAATGTCTTTATTATTCGAGAAACAGAAACCAAACTGGACACCTGGTGAACAAGTTGGATATCACATGATGACATTTGGCTGGCTTGTTGACCAATTGATTCGACGAATTGATCCAGAAAAACGAAGTTTATCAGTATTTTTTCAACAAGAGATAGCTGAACCGCACGGTAGGTAGTGTATAACATCATGTGAAATCAAAAATTTCAATAAACTTGATTTTATGCTCGTAATGAGGACCAGAATTGGTCAGGCGATCAGAACTGTCTCATTGCGCTAATGCAACAAATCTGCAATATTTTATAAGCTAAACGATTATAGGTCTTGACATAACCATTGGTTCACCGTTAGATCAAGAGCATCGGGTAGCACGACTTAGTCATTCATCAAAATTTGCATTAGCAAAAGAAATTATGGAGTACCCAACAATTTTAAAATTTATTTGGAATTTATTTACCACTCGCCGTTCACCAAATGGTCTCCTTAGGAAGGTTTTACAAAATATTGTGTGGATGGGAAGCGTAAGTTGGTCACAAGATTCATCTTTCTCTTTACGTTTTTTACCTTTCTAGCTGTCATCGTAATCTTTTTTTCTTTTTTTTTAACGAGCTTTTGAAGCCTTCTTCAACTTTATTGATTATAGGATTTTCTAGTCTTTAATAATCCGGATTATCGTTCCTTGAACATTCCGTCAGCGAACGGAATGGGAACTGCAAGATCTCTAGCAAAGCTACATTCATTGTTGGCACAAGGCAAACTTGTCAGTCAAAAAACTTTGGAGAAACTATTAGTTCCCGTAGTGGTTGATCATCACGATGTAGTTTTATTAATGATCGAAACAAAAGGAAAAGGATTTATTTACACTAAAAACGCAAAAGTGGGTCAAAGTCTTTTTTTTCTTTTTTTTTCTTTGTTTTTGTATGCAAACTACACTTAAAAAAATAATTACTTTTAAAAACCTGCAGTAGGAATTACAAGTGCTTAGTATTTAGGATCAGTGGTTAATTGGGCATCCGGGAATGGGAGGTCAAAATGCAAAAGCTGATATTACAAATGGTGTTGCTTTTGCCTACATATGTAACAGCATGAAAGCCGGTGTGTCTGATTACACAGCAACATTTACACGGCTACAGAAGTGCTTATATCAATGTTTGGAAAACAACAGTCTTCTAAAAGACTCTTTGGTTTCCACCCAAAATATGCTTTCCAAAGGTAATACGTTTGTTTGTGATCAGTACTGACAAAATAACCGCTTTAACTTGTCAGTTAAAAAAAAAAAACCACTTGGAAAACCTCTAACAACGACTCTAATACAAAAAAATTTTTGCATTTACTTACTGTAAATAAACAACAGCTTAGATTTTTTAGTACTTGTAATAAGAACCAAGGTTATACTGATTTAAAACTTAATTAGGCTTATCAGCAGTAGACTTCTTCAGAATTTTTCACAGTGCGCGCATATGTTAATTATATAACTGGTAAACAATGCAGAATTTCTTATTTTATATCTGCCATAATCACTATATCTGTTAGTTTACACTTTTTGTATTAAAATACAAAACTTTCTAACTTTTATAAAATAATAAAAAAATTAAATAAGCGGCGCTATAGCCCAATTTTTTAAACAATACTGAGCGAACGCTACAGTTTGGAAAGTTTTTTGTGTCAAAACGTCAAATTCAAATACATTTAAAAGTGTCTAAAAATAATTTTTTTAGATTTATGTGTAGCTTCTCTTCTCATACTTGCTCTTTTCTTCTATTCAAATAAAAGTAACCTTTTGCTGCTGAAAGAGAACTAAGGTAGACCCATATTTACACTGTAGTCACCAATAAATAGTATTTAAATTCACATTTTCAAGTTGAAAAAGTTTTGAGGAGCAATTTTTTTGCGAGAATCAATTTTGTCAACAGTACAGCCAAAATTGATGTTTTACAGAGCAAGTCTTTCAAATGTAATTCTCAATAATTAACCCACATCTTTAATATAACCAAAAAAGTTATTCTATTTTCAACTTTGTTGCTTGGTGCACTGTTTTGTAAACTTTTGAGAATTGTAGTTAGTATATAAGTTATCAGTCAACAGTTTGATGACATGTTTTGGTCAAAGTATCTATTAGCATTTAGACGTCTTCTGCCTCTACACAAATACTGTTTGTCTTTTTAACTCATTCAACGTTACAATCCTAAATTACCACTTGTCGTACTAAAATTTTTCAAAATTCTAACTTGTTAATCCTTTTCCAATCCTTCATTCAGTCTATCTTTCGGTGGTTTCTAATTGCTTAGAAAAGAACGTCAACGTAATGCTTATTCTTACTAATCTTTTTTCATTACTTCAAGTTGCAAGTTTTGAAAGTTCTTTGAAGTAAAAATTACTGTCACGGCGACTCAATATTCAATTTATAATTTTATTTGAGTTGAAAAAGAAAAATAAAAATTGTTTGGAACTATTCTTAAGACAAGATTTTGAAATAGAGAAAAAAATAGTTTTATTAATGTCAAAAATCAAAACGATGATTAAAAGCTGCAAGCTTTTAGCAGGGATGCCTTTTCCCTACATCTCGAAATTACCTTTGCAGATAATAAAAAAAAACACAAAAAAAACATCAGTTATTTACGTAAATATTCAAACACTTTTGTGTCACAAGTCAAAGTTCAAATGCAAACATTTAAATATTTTTATACTGGTTTATGCTAATACACATCTTCTACTACGTACTACTTAAAACTGGTTTAACAAATGATAATTTTACAGAAACTGAAGAAATAATTGATGTTGCCACAGCTGCAGCAGCAGAAATGGTGGCTGCAGCTGCCACAAAAGCTGCTGCAGCATCGTTAATTGATGTTGCACCGCCACTGTCGACGAGCACCTCAAAAGAAGCGATTTCAACGCTTAATTGAATCGAAAGTTACTCTTAAACTAATACTTATTTGAAATAATATTTAGTATATTTAATATAAATATATATTTATTTTTATATATATGTACACATATTTACTGTTTTATTTTTTCTATCACTGTTGCAATTTTCTGTGCACTATACTGTATTCTTCTATGTGATATACGCAGCCAAAGCATTTGTTAGGTCTTCCAGAAAAAAATTTTACTGCTTTTTGGATAAAATCTCTATATAAAAAAATAATTGATCTAAAATTAATTTTATTGTTAAAGAAAGAAATAAAAACTTTCTTGACCTAAACAAGTTTGTAACAGTTGCTTTCAAGACTTTGTTGTTACAAAAACTGTTCCTTTAAGAAATGAAATGATAAACGGTATAAATTTTTATGATTTCTTAAGTTAATAATTTCATCAAAAAAGTTTAGACAACTTTAATTGAGTTTCATTATGAAAGAGTGCAAAGTGGCTATTAGTCACTAATCCTATTTCTAAATTTGGAAGTTTTTTGTTTGTTTGCATAATTTCGTTAGCACCAATTTTTGGTTGTAATGATTTCACGTGATTAGAGAAAATGGTCTCGGAGTCTTTAGAAAATGCTGAAAAAGACTTTTTTTTTTTTTTTTTGCCAGTACATAGTTAATTTCCAAAACAGACCCGATGTTTGACTGCAAATTATATGCGATTACATATGCGTTTCATATTAGCATTCTAGAATTCTTCTTTCTTACAAGTAACAGTTTCAACAATTCTCTTATGTATCATTCTGCATATTGGTACACTATAAACCAGTAATATATATTCTAAGCTCTATATGGCAGTCCTCTTGTATGCTGTTGGCACTTTTAATTGTTCTGTTTTACTGCTGTTGGTGGCTTAAAATTTTGATTTAAAAACTTCTATTCCTGTCATTTGCAATGAGCTTTTCTGAAAATCAACTTTAAACGGTTTCTGCATATTTTTTTTCTTTGTATCATTTTAAGCGATTCTCCCGTCTCAGTCTTTCTCACTTCGTTCTAATATTTCTTACACTAATGCTTGAGCAAACGATCGGCTAACAACTTGAATGCGCACTTTAAACGCTAAGAAATCATAGTCGACTTTTTTTACTGTTATATTAGTTGCTATAAATTCATGCTGAAAAAAAAAAGGAACGAAAAGCATCACAACTACGTTAAATTATTTGCTGAAAGGAGAGTGCTGTTACTGAAAAAAGGTGTACGAAGCAATATTTGCAGTGAGAAAAAAAATAGAACAAAAAATGACAACACATTGATGAAAAACAAATTTGACGATATCAGAAAACTTTAAAAGGAAATTAATTTTTATTCCAACCGGAAAATGGCAAAAAAAATTTTTTTTTTTGGAAGGTTTTGTGATTGATGAGGAAACAAAATAGAGTGCTGTATTATATTGGTTGGTTTGTTGCTGACTTCAAATTGATTCTTCAGTCTAAAAAACAATATCAATTTGTATGATTTTTGACGGCTTTTTCTAGTCACCAATTTTTGGTAACGTTCAGGCAAATACCTGAACAATGATGAAAGTTTTTACGAGTTATTGTGGTTAATTTTTGTAGCTTTGTTTCAGACTGTTATTTGTTTTTCTGTCTTTAAAAACTTCTAAAGTTGTTTATTGAAATCCGAAAATGTCGACATTTTCAGAAACAACTGGTATTCAAAAATTATTGTTTAACTAATTTGATGCAAATTTTCTGTCTGATAATTTTGCTGCAAAAAGCAAGTTTTTTTTTTTTTTTACTTTTTTGTTGTTATTAAAAATGTGCTTTTGATCAATTTCAGAAATTATTTTTTTTCAGATTATTAAAAGATAAATAACAATGAATTGTTGATGAATAATTTTGAACAAATCTTTACTGCTAAAATATGTCTGGTAGAAAAGTTAACAGCATTAGATGTGCAAATTTTTTTTTCGCTTGATTAGTGAATTAGCAAATTTTCTTGTTTATTTTAACTGCGGGATTAAAATTTAACACTTTATTTTTTTTTTCTGCTAAAATAACAGAGTAATTCTTTCTTTCAAATAATAAATTTTCTGTTTTTCTAGGCGTCGTTCTTTTTTTTTTGTTTATTCCAATTTGTTCCCGTATTTTTTTTTCCAAATATAATTGGGTGCTTTCTGCTACTGGTTAAAGAAGAAAAGAGTTATTGCATAAAGCTTTTGTTTTCTGTCGTTTTTAATTTGGTTTTCAAAACTGAAACTCTTTTTGTTTTACAGTTCAGCTTTTTCATCACAAACTTTACCGATGTGGCTGTATTACTGTCGTCATAATTAACGAGTACTCGACAAGCGAACAAACTAGCAGGCAGTTATTTGGACGGTTTGAAAAAAGTCAGTCATTATAGGTCACAGAGCAAATACATAATATTTATTAAAAAACAGTAATTTTTCTTGTTTTTTTTTAATTAAAATAATGTGATCTATGACCTGTGATAAGCGACCTCTTTATAGTTCTTGTCAAAAGCTAACTTTACCGACGAAAACAAAGACTTTCTTTTCGCTTTCTTTTCCTAATAGCCTCAGTGCTATTGAACTAGGAATACAACAAATTT